GAGAGAGGGAGAGAGAGAGAGAAATAAAAGAGGGCGGGGCTCCACGATAAGGCGCGAGACATTATCGATGTGACAGTGCGGCCAGACAAGCCAAGCTCATTTGCAATTTATGACGCGACGATCGTTTCGTAATAACGATAACAAAAATAATAAACGATGGCGATGATAACAATGGGAGAAATAGTGCAGTCGTTATACGGGCGCGGCCGTAAGACGACGCGGAGCAAAGAGAGTCCTCTAAGGTTATCGTCGCTTTACACCTATTATAGTAGGCGGCCAGCTCCGAAAAGTCTCAAAAATTGGAAGAAAAAAAAAGATTTTTAAAATAAGTACATATATTCCGAAGAATCTATTTGGCCGGAAAAGAAGAAAGTGGGGCAGACGGCTCGGCTCGGCCAGCCAGGTCCTAATGAAATGGCTCTGAGTAACGGCAGCGGCCATTACGGCGAGGGGGGCCAAGAACGTATAGGCGACAGCGTTATTAAAAGGGTCGGTCGGAGGTGTGACAGAGAGGAGAGCAGGGGCGAGAGAGAAGCGCTGCTCAACACATACTACTTTCTCTCCTGACTCTTCTAGCATTCAAATGCGCGCGCGGGCGCGGCGGCGGGGGAGGCAAGGTTTTCTTTTAATGACCTAAATAAATAATACATCATAATTAAAAGGCGAACGCGCGGCTGGTCTCATTGGCGCACACCGGGCCCGAGTGCATTAATTTGTGGCTCGCTGCGACAGGACTGGCTCGCCAGCGCGTCGCGGAGCGCACCGCGGAGCTCACTTGCGGCGCTCACCTGCGGAGCTAATCTGCGGAGCTCACAGCAGAGCTCACCGCCGAGCTCACCGCGAAGCTCACCGACGACTCACCGCTGAGCTCACCGCCGAGCTCACCGCCGACCCTAATAGAAAACGAAGGTCCTCCAGAGTCCCAATTTTGAAATCCCTCCGTAGGTCCTATCCCAAATCCCCCAGAAGTACCAAAAGGGGGCAAAACAGGACTTAGGGATTTGAGAGAATCCCAGCCTCTGAAGTCCCGCGGAAGTCCCTCCGAGTGTACCCTCCAGTCTGTACTAAAAAGCCCTACAACGCTCCTATTTGTCTCTAACTACGTCGAGTATGTACCTATACACACACATAGAGTGTATCTACGGCCCATCTGATGTCGTCTGACGTACTTAAAATTGTCCAGGAAGCCCCCTTCTCTATCTTCGGAAAACGGCACCAAAAGGCGGGCTGGAGAGAAAAGGGACTTCGGAGGGATTTCACCAAAATGGAACTTCGAAAGGATTTCAAAACAAGCGAAATCCCGTTCTAGTCCCTCACAAATTTGAGGGACAACTTTGGAACAAACTAGGGACAGAATAGGACCTTCGTTTTCTATTAGGGGAGCTCACCGCCGAGCTCACCGCCGAGCTCACCGCCGAGCTCACCGCCGAGCTCACCGCCGAGCTCACCGCCGACCGCCGGGCTCACCGCCGAGCTCACCGCCGAGCTCACCGCCGAGCTCTCACCGCCGAGCTCACCGCCGAGCTCACCGCCACCCCCGAGCTCACCGCCGAGCTCACCGCAGAGCTCACCGCTGAGCTCACCGTGAAGCTCACCGTGAAGCTCACTGAGGAGCTCACCGAGGAGCTCACCGTGAAGCTCACCGTGAAGCTCACCGTGAAGCTCACCGTGAAGCTCGCCGTGAAGCTCACCGTGGAGCTCACCGCCGAGCTCACCGCGAACCTCACCGCGAACCGCACTTAGGATAGCACACCACCAGGCTTTGCGACGGCAGTGGCGGTGCCGCGCGGCGGCAAAGAGGCCTCCAGCAGCGGCGCTCCTCCACCCCTAACGAACAGGCTTGTTAAGAAAGGGCAGGCGCAGGGGGTGGCTGGCGGAGGGAGGGGCGCGGACGGCCGCGAGGGGGGCTTAACCGGCCGAGGTCGCCGCGCGGCTTGACCCTGGGCTGCGCCCGACCATTGTGCCCGCCCATGGCTTGAGGCAGGTCCGGGCGGGGCGCCACCAAAAGCCCCATTACAGCGCCGAACGAGCTAAAATAGTAAGCGTCTTTTGCGACGCTCTACAACTACATACTTTAGAACGCCCAGCAGAGGTGACACTGGCATGAGCGCCTGCAGCACCGGCAGGCCCGGCACACCCGGGTGTTGTGCGGGCTCGCCTAACTCCAGGCTGCCACCGAGCCCCTGCAGCGCCAGCAGGAGCAGGCCCGCCACACTTGGGTGTTCTGCGGGCTTGCCTACACTCCAGGCTGCCACCGAGCCCCTGCAGCGCCAGCAAGAGCAGGCCCGCCACACTTGGGTGTTCTGCGGGCTTGCCTACACTCCAGGCTGCCACCGAGCCCCTGCAGCGCCGGCAGGCCCGCCACACCCGGGTGTTCTGCGGGCTTGCCTACACTTCAGGCTGCCACCGAACCCCTGCAGCACCGCCAGGCCCACCTACCACACCCGGGCGTTCCTCCTGAGTATGATTGATGTCTGCCGCAACTGAACATTTGGCAGTGGACTATAAAGACTATGCGGCACTTACTTTCCAGAGTGGCTTCACGCGCAGGCTGCAAGGAACTGAAAGCACCTGAACCGGAGGCGAGTGACAGCGTCCAATGGGAGCACGAACAGTCAATGTCTCTGCCAATGAAGCAGGCCCCTCTCTCGCGATACTGGGACGGGAGAGCGCGCGAGAGCAGCTCCGAGGTCCGCGGAGAGAAAAGTGAGCGAGTTAGAGGAGCTATTTGCTTGCTCCGAGGCAGACTTCTGGGCGTGCTCCTTCTATACCAGAAACCACCCCTTCTCCTAGTCACCGCGACACCCGAGCAGAGCGAGCAGCAGAGAGAGGCAGAGGCGTTCATTTCCAAGCCAAACTGAGCCAGCAGAAAGCGGGCCGCGTGAAAAGCGCCGCGCGCGCGCCGCCGCCAGAGACACGCCGGCCGCGCGCCTCTACTCGCGTCTCCCTCTCGCTCGCACTCACTCACGCTCCAGGAGGGGGCCCGCCGCCGCAGTGTGACAGAGAGTCATTAGAAAGTCTCCGCCATGTAAATGTGCTCCGCTCTCGGCTGCGTTCGGCCGCGCTCGGCTCCGCTCGGCTCCGCTCGGCCCCGCCCGCCGCGCATTCGTGATTAGGTGTCCGCCTCCCTGGCCGCCCATCCATCGCGAGCACAGAGCGGACGGAGCGCCGCGGCGCGCGACACCGCATCCCGCCGTCATTAAATATGATCGATCTGGAGCGGCGGAGGGGAGAGGAAAAGAAACCAAGCGGAACTGGGTAAATAACGTAATAAAAAAAGGGAGTTTTGTGGCGGGGATAGCGGCGGCGCCGGCGGCGGTGGTGGTGGTGGTCCACCGCTGGTCTCATCTGGTCTAGTCGCCCAATAGACTACAACTAAACTGTTCGTTAAGGTATAGAAAAACAACGTGCAGGAAATATGCTCTTTCCTTTCAGCAATAAAAATATTAGGACGGTGCAGCAACAGTAGGAGTCCTGAGTCCTGTATACTAACAGGTGCATCTGTAGGAATAAGCAACATTACTAGGACATCCCCACAGTTTCAACACTCTCTTGCTTACGACAGTAGCGCGCGTTACTACGACAGTAACAGAGTTAGTCTTTACACAGAACAGGTGACGATACTAGTTCGTGTATTTTTGCAGTGGATCAACATTTTCAACTGCGAAAAAGAAACAACCTTTGATTTGATACGAAAAATAAAAACAATCGCAAGGGCTAAACAGTGGACACGAGAGAGACGGAAACAGGGAGCGGAGTATACACGTCCAGCTCGTACACGACACACCAAACTGCTTGCGACAGGACCATACGGATGTGCTGCCCCGCCCCCCCCACCCCCTTTCCCCTCAGCCGGGGTGGTCCTGCCCCAACAGCTAAGGGTTGGACAAGGTGCACAACTTTGGCCTCGCTCACACAGACAGACACACAACACAGCGTGACGCGTGAGATGAGGAAGGTGCGTCCGGGATGATAGCTGTTGTGTGTTGCGGGGGAGAGTGTGGGGGGTAAAAGTCGTGGGGGTAAGGGTGTTGGTGGTGGGGGGAGGGGGGCCAACAGTAAAAGTGCGAGCAGAATACTGTGCAGGTCGCCACGGCTGCATGCCTGGCCTGC